TGCTGTTATGTTAAACTTATATTAACGTTTTTCTTTATTACCCATTCAAGCCGTTTCCAACCATTATTGGTCTCAAAGAGGGTTCCTCGTCATCGAATTTGAATACTTCCCGTAATGTTTATCTTCTTTGTAAAAAATATCTTATGTCCTAAGCACTATTTGTCAATTTGTAGATAGATATAAACGGAAAGTGTGGCCACTGACAATTTTTTAGCTCGGGTACACGCGAGTTCGAATCCCCGTCCCACCAAACATACTCGCTCTTTCAGCCGTGGGGACGTTATATTGTGACGGTCAATCCTCATATTCGTTGGTAAAAGAGTAGCCTAATAATTGGCGGTGGGTGGTGATGACTAGCTGCTTTCCCTCTAGTCGTTCACTGCTAAATTAGGGATAGCTAACGCAGATAGCCCTCGTGTAGCTTTGCGCGAAATTCAAAACAAACAAACAAAACCAAATTGTAAAAATATAGAGGTCGGCTGTGGCAGATATTTGAAATTTTATTCCATAAAAGTACAATACTTCACAACTGCACAAGTATGTTATTGTACTTCTTCTATACATAGGTCAGTGATTTATGTGACTTCACATTACGGCCAATCTGATAAGCTCTAGCATTGAGTAAAAGGTTTTATCAACAGCGCTACGTAACACACAAAGTGAAGGGCAGTGAAGAAAGATTTGTTGAAGTTATTACCAGTCTTATTGTGATGCGCTGTGACACAAACTAGTAACCTGGTGATCACATTTTGCCAACATAATAATTGTTCTCTAACATAACGCAGAGGATTGAGTACAATATATTAAAACAATTTGAAGTCTCACAACATCATTATAGTCCATGTCGCCATGATCGGTCATGCACTATCTCACGATCTTCCATATTGATAATAAATACCCCTGCAGCGTGGTTCCATTGCAAAAGACTCTATCGTAAAGCTGTCATGTATAAAGCCCACTACTCCTCTTTGCTTGCTTTCCATAATCAACCTAATGTACGAAGAACGCTAGTTTCCTAACTCTTGTTTTAACAGTCTGATCACACAGAATTCCATAGACGACTTAAACGATATGTTTTCATATGGAATAGCACGAATACCCATTTTATTACACGGCTGCTTGAGTTATGTGACAGTTGAATGATAGGTATGAAGGAAAGCCTTATCTTGGTGAACCCATACCATGTAAGCGTCATTTCCATACAAAGCCAGTATTTCTCTGTGGTACAAAGGGGCCAGAATATTGATGTGCTAGTATGTAGATTTCATCTTATCCTTTTTATTAATTTTTCTGATCCATAACTTGTCCCTGGCACAGTATTTAGCGATTATCATGAAATCCTTTAAGAGAGTTTGCCGACGTGCCGGTTAGTACTTTAAAAATTACTTTCATCAACTAATTGTAAGAAAATGGCACAAGACTTATTATAGTTATGCCTGTTATGGCTGGGTACGACTTGTTGCAAGTCTCTTTATAGAGGTCTTGGATCCATAAGTTGATCCATATTCTTTTGTTTTTCAGTGTCATTAAGTACAAGGAATATTCCGTCTTAGAAATTCTAAATGCCTGACCTGAACACGTCTTTATGATCTGAGTGTATGAATATTTTGCGTCGAAAAGGGCTAATAAATTCCCTTTTCAAAAGCAATCAATTGTCGGAGGCATCACGGTACCTACCTAACGCCAAACAATGTAAAAATGTATAGTTCTGATATATACTCTTCCACCGCGACTTTTTATCGGCTATTTATGTCACACGACTTGCTAACTTGCATATCTAAAATCGTTTTAATACAGAATACTCAACCCTCTGCAACATATCATTACATCTTACAATGACTTTATCGTATAATTCAATCTATATAATTACATCATTCACGATTCAGATCATTTAGTGAAAAAACACGGTAAAGGAATTCTTAGTATTGGACAAATTAGTTACGATATATTCGTGTGTCTTCTTTAGTCTTTGTCTACTTGCAGGAAAACTGGTCGACAACACCTACGTGACTCCGGAACTTCGAATTTCTTTAAGGACACAGGATGTCAAGAATGTTTTTAATTAATACTCTTTACTGTACATAGAAATGTGCAGGTAAGAAATCTATCTTTGTTGTTTAATACACTAACAAACGCTTCAATTCTGTACTTAAATGTTTTTACTTCCAGGTAGCAGTCTAAATAAACCATGAAATTATTTTTGTAGAATCCTCAACTGAAGAATGTTAATTTCTAGGTAATGTATCCATTTATAGATTATCAAAATATATTTCACAAAAACATATTTGCCAACAAGTTTTCCTGCCAGAAGACAACGTGAGATTGAATAGGACATAATAATATGTCGAATTTAGTTTCTCTAATATCAAGACTTCTGACAGCTTGTTTCGTTTACTGTGATTTGTACTAACTGATACACACGGTGTTGCATTCATTCACATCTTTTGTTGCTATCATGGAAAGCAAATCCAAAATAAAATGTTATTAATATAACATCGTGGAGCAACGAAGTTTTGCTTGAAGCACGTGGATATGGTGTTATTCACTTTCGATGGAGACATAACCTTGCTAATATTCCCAGAACTTATGTGTTAATATAATTTCTTTTGACATCCAAGTGCCCTGAAAAATCGTTCGTGGGTTATAACGTATTACATACATTAACAAGTTCTTCGTTAACATTAAGCTCTTACTCAGTTGCTGCGTCACAACTTATTCAGGTACTTTATGCAGTTATACACGTGGCATATAGTGTTGGATATATAAGACTGTTTAGTATGGGTGTTATTTATTTTATTTTGTGACTTAATATTTAATGATTGTTTAGTTTTTAAGACAGAAGTATTGAAGATACATTATTTTAAAAGTGTTAGTTGTGACGAATTTTGTTACGTAACTCTGTAACGAGTCGTACGTTGTGTTTGCAATTACATTGTTGTCTAGGATTTACTAATATTGTTAACGTCACGTTACTCGAATCTTCGGTATGTTTCTTGTTACCTTAAGTGAGTACTGTTACCTTACAGCGCCGCTCGCGTAGTTTAGAGAAAGTTCGAGGCCTTAGTTGGGCAAAATATAAGTATAGGCGACAAAGCAAGCGCAAGTCAAGTAAAGTTAAGTCAAGTAGAGAAAAAGTGCAGTTCAGTCAGAAAATTAGTTAGCTAAAGAAAACGTGAAGTTAACCAGCATGTGAGTGATTAGCCATAACGTGCAATATTTTAAAATGAGTATCACAGTTTAATAGAGATAAGGAGAATAATTTGTCTTGTCAAAGAGTGTTCTAGAGTAATTGCACCTGTCTGTGTGGACTTTGACGAAAAGGATATAATTATTTAAAGTTCAGGATATAATTGTGGTAACCCATAAGGTAGCATAAGTGAATTATTCACTGATACTATTGTGATAAGAGTAGAGAAAAATAGTTTGTCTTGTCAATTGGATTCTAAAGTAATTGAATCAGTCTGAGTGGATTTTGACAAGAAGAGAGAATTATTTAGAGTTTTTGATACAACTGCTATATTCTATAGTGTAAAGAACTTTTGTACGTACGTCTGATTTGTTTCGAATATATATTTTTTTCAAACAAGTGGATTGTGTGTCGTCCGTTTATTGTTGACATTTATCACCAACAAGTCACAGACACATACTGTAGAAGAATCCAACCTCAACTACACATATTTAAAACCCTGACACAGAGAAAGTCGTGTTATAAAACAACATGGAAGGGAAGGCTAATAATTAGTACTTAAAAGAAAATCTTAATAAGATTGTATTTAATGAAGTAAGTTTTATTAGTTACTTACAACAATATCCGGGCTGAATAGATTTTGTAGATCATAGAAATGTAATCGTTGTCAATCAAATAGCAATATTTCATGTTTTCTTTCTGCATTGTGGAAGTTAGTATTAAATCTTCGATTTCCACTTTGTAGTAGTTTTGACTGTAGTTTTGGTCTTAAATTAACTAAAACATTCTGAAAGCACCGATATTAATGTTCTAATTGTTTTTCACTGAAAAATGCACAAATTCAACAATTTCACTGTTACTAAAAAAAACAACAGTAGTTTATTTGTGTAATTACGTTCTGAGGTACTGCTCAGAGCTGTACATTAATCAGGAAGTCATATATTAGATGTTACCACGAACCACAGTGTTACTGAGCAAATAAAAACAGCGATTATCTGTCACGGTGTGCCAAATACCACGGAATCGGAATCGTATAAGTAAAACTGTCGCTAGGAGGGGCAAGAGTACAAAGCCCAAGGGGCAAGTTACATAAACTGATAAACATCCACAATACAAATCTATCACCAAGTGATCACAAAAAGTTATATAAGCATTACAGATTGAAAGTGTTCAAGCGAACTGTACTGCCAACACTAAATGGTCTGTTGTTTGCCGTGTTCCACTTTCCTCCGCCCTTTACTGTTATTCCTCAATAACGTATCTAAAACATTACAAAATTAGATAGTCATAGCTTTATCAGCTTAAAGAAGTTTTCTATGTATTTAGAATGAAACAAATCAACTGACATTTGAAGTTTGGAATATGAAATGAATATAACATAAATTGAATTTTACATGACCATTAATGCAAAATGATAGATTTGTAGACATTTTTACTTACCCGTAAATACCAATTAGATTCGTTAGCAGCTCGGGACAGATGCTCTTCCATAGCAGTCCAATCGATCTTTGGCATTGTTGTTTCAATGTTGTAAACGTCAAAGCTTCCAAACGTTTCCTGTGAGATGATATCTTTTTTTATTGGAAGGGAATATCTACTGGTATTTTTTTTCGTCGAGAAATCGTCTCTTGTTGTCGAGGGGAAACAAGTAGGAGGTAGAGTAACTTTTTCGGCCATGCTTTTGTACAAAACACTGTTTGTGATACTGTTATTGTTTAAAGTGTTATCTGAGAACAAAAAACTTTTTTCGTCAAAATTCCATAACAAAGAACGTTCGTTTTCTTTTGATTCGTGTCGAAACGATGAAATAACAGCAAGCTCCTTTGGATGTCTTATTTGAAATGGTTTTATATAATTAACACTGCCGTTTGTAGTTTTGCTTTTAGTCCCTGAAAGTGTGGTAGGCGCCTGTTTCTCTGTGCAATTAACAGAACATTTAGGTGTTTCTACTGATGCATCTCGTTCCAAAGCTTCTGGTGTCGAATTGTCTTGGTAGGGTGCAAGTAGTTTTAGAATGTTTTCACCGCTTTCTCTAGTGGGGCTTGAACAAACTTTATTTTCGATTCTGTGTTCAGTGGTAGAGTTTTCACAAAGTATATCATGTGTATTTTCACTACGACTTGGCAAACCACTCAACAATGGCCCAATTAGATCATCTGCAGTTGAAGGTTCTGGCTTTCCAGCGGTCATGTTCACATTATCACCAATTGTTTTCAAGTTTTTGAAAAACGATTCGGTACAGCATTCTTTTTTTCCAATTTCCTTTTCGGAACAGTCTAGCTCACACTTCTCTATTTCTTCCTGAGAAAAGGTAATTTCTGTTTCAGGTTTGTTCTTCAGCTTTTCTTGGTATTCCTCAGTCATATTTTTGGGAAGATGTGAGGCTGTGTTTAAAATTTTTGCCTCTTCTAAGCACGTAGGAGATGAATCCATTTGACGAATGTTTGCATTCTTTGCTTCTTCATCCTTGTTGACCAGACATTGAATATCACTATGTTTGCTTGTGGACATGGAAAAGTTATTTAACGTTTCCGTTGCCATATTGATATCAAAATCAGAACACGAACTATTTTCACTCATAGGAGTTAAATCAGCAGAATCAGAACTTCCTGAATTAGGAGAATCAAACTGAGTTAAAAGATAATCTTCTGCAGCATGATTTTTAAGATCAATAAAGCCATACGTTCTTTGCTCAGTTTGAGAATAGTCAACTTCCCATTGTTGAGCCACATTTCTGAAGGAATCATGTTGCATATGATTGACCAATTTTTCCGGTGAAGAACGTTTACTCGGTTTTGACAATTCTTTATAAGAGTTGCTTTTTCCAATGCAGTACGTGTAGTTGTTATTACTAATGTTTTCTGAATGATCTAGTAAATAATCTTGTGGTGAATCCGACAAATCAGAAAACAAAGAGTCTTCATTTTCTAATTCACTACAATTACAACTGCTGTTGTTCTTACTATTATTGTTACAGTCATCACTCAAGTCTACTTTCTCATCATTATCATAAGCATATTGTTTCAGAGTCTGAGTTTCAAGATGCTGCTTACTCTGGTTGAAGTCTAGTTCAGATTCTGATAAAGATTCCTCTTCAGTATTATTATTCTTATAAATGATTTCTGGAGAGGATAAAGACATTGCTTGGTCACTTCCATCTTCTAAGGGTGAAGCAAGACTTGGGTTGTAACCAACTGGCTTATTGTTGTTGAAATTCACAATGTAGTGCTGCTTTTCGGTATCTTGAAAACTATGCCAGCCTGTTTGGATCCTACAACACAAACATATGTCAACAAAACTTCTTAAAGCAAGGCAAGCATGAAATTACAGTATTAATTTCGTAATTCAAAATCAGCACTGAGGTAAATTTATTGACATTAGTCGGATTATCTTCTGAAAATATATACATAACAGAGCTGACTGCGATCGATTGCATTATCTTTTCTAATACAGCTTAGTAAAAATAAAAATATTTTTTGGAACATGACAAAGTTTGAAAATCAATTTGAAAATTCATTCATTTGATAAGAAATATATATAACGAAATTAATATACAAAAATATAACTTAAATATTTTGTTTGTCATTAAGCACAAAGCTACACAATAAGCTATGTGTGCTTTATCCACCGAAAGTATCGACACCCAATTTTTAGCGTTATAAGTTCTCAGGCTTACCGCTGAGCCAACAGGGGCGCTTAACTGAAATAACATAAAACGTACAATCAGCTTCGAAACCTTCGTATATATATATATATTTTTGTTTTTACAAATTATACTTGTGACCCTTATGCGACTTACAAGGAATTTCAAAATGATTAATAGTGTTGCGTCATCGAGGTCACATGACTGGTGTGGCGCCACCTATTTTCTAGAACTATCCCGTACTTTGGCGAATGCTCTAGTATTTACTAGATATATGGTAAGCTGGTATATAAAAGAGGGTGACAACGCGACAGGATGTAATGTGTGTGTGTGTGAAGATAGTGAGTAATTGAACTGCAGTCAGAAGTATTATTGACGTTTGTTGATATAGCGTTTGTTTTAGCGCGATTGTTGAAAATAAGTGTATCGTAAAGTTGTATTCGGAAAGAATAAACCAGTTTTATTAAGTAAAGACTTGTGTCGTTAAAGTTTCGTCGGAACGAAGTTACGGAAAAATCAATTAACAAACGGAGACGTAACAAAAACTTAGACTTTAAATATGATCTTGAAACTGGGTATTTTTTAGAATGATTTTACTATTTATTGAACTCAACAGAGAAAATAACGATATAGACTGGTGAGGAGCCATGTTATCTCTCTTCTCTATTATCACAGCCCTCTTTTATATGTAAATTAATTTATCTATTTCGTAGTCATTTTACAAAATTTATTTTCTCTTCTCTTATATTTAAGAACACTGTACTTCTTATTTTAGTTTACAGTATTCGTATCAAATTTATCAAAACTATGACTTATCTAAACGTGGAGTGATTTCAGTTGTATTATTATATTGTGTTTAGAAAACTATAGACATACAGAGCTGAGTACGTTATATCAAAACGATTTTGGAGCCTTATCACGTCGTTACAGTTCATGTCGCTACGTCCGGTCATGGTTTATTTGAAGACCAAGTATCTTGACAATAGCATAGTTTTCATTGCAAAAGGCTTCACCATAAGACTACCACGCTCAAAACACACCCCTCCTCCTTGCAGACTTTCCATAAGCCATTTAGTTTATGAGAACGAAAGTTCCGCAGTGTCCGTTTCAACATTCCAACCTCACAGAAATCTAAAGGTGCTGTATCCGACTACTTGAGGTATGCGGCGATTTAATGGCTATGTCGAGAAATCAGTTTGTGTACACACGATTTGTGTTGCTTTTACAGTTGGGGATCTCCTTCTTGATTATGTTGTATACTGTTGGCTGAGATACACAGACGATTTTTGCCACTCACCTTTGGATTCTCACCTGTTACCAGACACTGCACTTTGTTTCTGATGATTGGGGTCACCTTGTTGCAGGATTCTTTTTATATGGTCCTGTTGCACCAATCTGATTAAGATTTCTTTGTTTTCCAATATCATTAAGTACTAAGGATGTACCTGACTTTGAAATTCTAAATTTCTGCTCTGAACACATACAATCTGAGTGTGTGTGAATATTTGCATCGGAAAAGACTGAAAAATTCATTTTCCAAAGTGATCAGTTTCGAGATGCATCACACTACCTACGAAATGCCAAAATATGCTACATGCCTTTCAACCGCGAATATATATCGGCTCTGGTTGTCGAGTTACTTGCATATTAAAAATCGTTTTAATATCATTTATTCGAATCTCTGTATGAACCTACTATTTCCCTTCTATTTTTCATTTGCTTTTGGATAATGTTGTAGAATACTTAACTACGACATTACCAGTTCATAAATTTATTTACAACTAATAACTGATGTGTTGTCTTTTTTTTCTTACCTGAAGTTTTCTGGAGCTATTTTGGAATTTATTTTAGTGCGTTGTGAACCTTTGGAATCTAACTGTTGGTTATACTGTTGACTTGAAAAACAAAAAACAAAGAAAAATTATCATCATCATGATTATGTCGGCAAAACTAAGTAAACTACAGATTATATCAAATTTCATAAGTTACTTCAAATGAACATTTTTGTTGTAACGTTTTCTGTTGTGTGGGTTCCTTTATATTCTTCGATAAAACGAAGGCAAAATTCAGCATACTTAACGATAACGAAGGCGTTTTTACTTCTTCGACTAAAAGGTTTATAAGAGCTTAACTAAAGTTTGTTAGTAGGCCTAAGTTCACAGTAGACACCAATACAACAATTTCACTTACTTGCTAACTTCGTTCCTGCGTACGGGGCTTTTTTGTATCTTTGTTTCTTTGTCGAAATAAAAACTCAATATTTACAAAAGTGAACTAACCAATTAAATGTTTGGCAGAACAAACTGACTAATGAACTTGCAAATAATATAATCAATTATCATCTTTAACAGACTCACTAAATCAATAATCAACCATTAACTACTCTAGCTTAACTCGCGTTTCCACATTGCACAAAGAGTGAACTTTAAAAAAGGTTCTAAACATTAAACCACGTCTACTACACTGTCATATACTATACTTCCATGGAATGACGGTGTGAAGTAAAACGTTCAGCAAGTAACACCCGTTAATGGGAAGAACTGTTTACTTTTGTTAGGATGCTATCAAGGAATAATTAAAAATCCTTTAGATTGGTCAGCAAGCAACTTCTGTTACTGTAAACATTATATTACCATTAGGATACTGTCGTGGAATGACGTTGTGAAGCAAAACGGGTAGCAAGTAACACTTGTTAATGGGAAGAACTTTCTACCTTTGTTAGGATATTGTCAAGGAATGATGGTTTGAAGTGAAACGTTCAGCAAGTAACACCTGTTAATGGGATGAACTTTTCAGTTTTGTTAGGATATTATCAAGGAATGATGGTGTGAAGTAAAACGGGCAGCAAGTAACACCTGTTAATGGGAATAACTTTCTACTTTTGTTAGGATACTGTCAAGGAATGATGGTTTGAAGTGAAACGTTCAGCAAGTAACACCTGTTAATGGGATGAACTCTTCAGTTTTGTTAGGATACTATCAAGGAATGATGGTGTGAAGTAAAACGGGTAGCAAGTAACACCTGTTAATGGGAATAACTTTCTACTTTTGTTAGGATACTGTCAAGGAATGATGGTGTGAAGTGAAACGTTCAGCAAGTAACACCTGTTAATGGGATGAACTTTTCAGTTTTGTTAGGATATTATCAAGGAATGATGGTGTGAAGTAAAACGGGCAGCAAGTAACACCTGTTAATGGGAAGAACTTTCTACTTTTGTTAGGATACTGTCAAGGAATGATGGTGTGAAGTGAAACGTTCAGCAAGTAACACCTCTTGATGGGAAGAACTTTCTACTTTTGTTAGGATACTATCAAGGAATGATGGTGTGAAGTGAAACGTTCAGCAAGTAACACCTGTTAATTGTTTGTTTGTTTTTGCATTTCGCGCAAAGCTACACGAGAGCTATCTGCGCTAGCCGTCCCTAATTTAGCAGTGTAAGACTAGAGGGAAGGCAGCTAGTCATCACCACCCACCGCCAACTCTTGGGCTATTCTTTTACCAACGAATAGTGGGATTGACCGTCACATTATAACGCCCCCAGGGCTGAAAGGGCGAGCATGTTTGGTGTGACGGAGATTCGAACCTGCGACCCTCAGATTGCGAGTCGAGTGCCTTAACCACCTGGCCATGCCGGGCACACCTGTTAATGGGGAAAACTCTATCTTTGTTAGGATACTATCAAGGAATGATGGTGTGAAGTGAAACGTTCAGCAAGTAACACCTGTTAATGGGATGAACTCTTCAGCTTTGTTAGGATACTATCAAGGAATGATGGTGTGAAGTGAAAAGTTCAGCAAGTAACACCTGTTAATGGGGGAAAACTCTATCTTTGTTAGGATATTGTCAGGGAATGATGGTGTGAAGTGAAACGTTCAGCAAGTAACACCTGTTAATGGGGGAAAACTCTATCTTTGTTAGGATATTGTCAGGGAATGATGGTGTGAAGTGAAACGTTCAGCAAGTAACACCTGTTAATGGGGGAAAACTCTATCTTTGTTAGGATACTATCAAGGAATGATGGTGTGAAGTGAAACGTTCAGCAAGTAACACCTGTTAATGGGGGAAAACTCTATCTTTGTTATGATATTGTCAGGGAATGATAGTATGAAGCAAAAAGTTATAATGTGAAATGTGCATTTAATACGTTTAAATTAAAACTGTAATTGTCTATAACTTTTATATATTTTTTAAAGCAATTGAAACTCATTTACAGGCTTAGTGGTTAGGGCGTTCGAATTACAATCTGCGATCGGATTCAAATCCAGTTACCGAATATACTTACTCTCTTTCAGCCGTAGAGGGAGTTATAATGTGACGGCAGATCCCGCTTTTGTTGGTAAGAGAGTAGTTCAAGGATTGGCGGTGGGTGGTATTGATTAACTGCTTTCGCTTTAGCCCTCGAGTTGCTTTGCGTGAAATTCAACAAACAAACAAACAGCTCACTTACACGTATGTTATATAAGTTGGGGACTATTTACTAAGCTAAGAAACAACGGGTGTATATAAACACACACATATATTATATATATATATATATATACACATATACAGACACACACACTCGAGACCTCCAATGTCAATAGGGTCGTAGCCTTAATTTCTGTGTTAAGCATCGTCTGTTATACCCACTAAAAAAGCAGGCTGGACAGTCCATGTCCAGTCTATCTTTCAGTGTCTTCTTCAGATCAAGTAGTTCCTTTTGATGATGAAATTAGTTAAAATACCAGTCTAGAGAACGTTGCACAATGTTAGATGTCCAAGTGATCCTGCTGAAATTTTAAAATCAAGGCGTTTATTGAAAACAACAGTTAAATTAGGCCGGAGATCGTGTATACTTTAATATATTAATTATTTTGAACAGACACAGTAATTCTCAACACTTAAATATAATATGCCTGAGCTCTAGTTGAGGTCCAACACGACTCGAGCAAGAACAATCAGTTGATGATGAAGTACAGTATTTATTCATACTGACATTCTTATGCAGGAACGTCGAGCCCCAGCACGGGCCCCTGGGCAAACATCCTCGCCGGGCCCCCTTTCTCTCTCTCTTTTTAACATTTTCAGGAATTTATTAAAAAGAAGACCCTAAATTAGGACAGCAATGATCTCAAACCAGACAAAATCATAGAAGCAGCCGTTGTTACCTCACAGTATAAGCGTAAAAACGTTAATAAAGTAACAACAAATATCTATTAAATCTATAAAGTAACAAATACATATTAATTATTACTTAAATTATTAGCTCAGTCGTTCTTAATGTATCAAGCGTCTATATGCAAAGAAAAGCCAAAAACTACGGTTTTTAACATTAAATGAAGATATAGGCTAAAGATGCTTTGCGGGCTTTACGGCATAACCAGTTTTCATTCGCCCGGGCCTCTGGGCAGTTGCCCCAACCCTGTCGGCGGGCCTGTTCTTATGTATATGCCGCATAAGACAACTGGTCTAGTACGTATGCATGAATGACTGTGTATAAACCTCCAAAAGGGGGTAAAGACAAAAAAAAGGGACTTATATTAGCTTCAATAAGCAGCTAAACTATTTTATAAAATGAACAATCCTCTACAATGAACAGTCCCATTACATGTAATCTATTCCCAGGTGCCTAGTGTGTTAGTACAGTCTTGTTATGCTTGCCAGCCTAGACCCCTTCAGATCTTTATGGTAGGATTTAACTGCTATCGAGAGAGGGAAATATAATTGGCGCAACTTTACAAGCGTATCTATTAATCAAAACTGTACAAATATGTTAAAAGCAACAATTTCTAAAGGGATGTACTGCAAACTGTAACATCTCAAATAAGCAATACTGAAATGAAGATCTTCGTATGTATTCAGGACCGTTGCACGTTGATCCCCATTTTGAAACGATATTAAGATGACAACATCAAGAAAAAGATCCGAGTTCGATTTAATACGATACTAACCAGTTAAAGATAAACCTGCACGTCACGAGATCCATTACCAGAGCAATGGTGAACAGAATTCATAAATTACTACAAGAAACGTGCATTTACACAAGCAATGTTGGTCTGACCACAGGGACAGTGAAAAAAAATCAACATATACTCTTTTCCCATGAAATGGATGCATATATACATGTATACAAAGATAGCCCAGTGAAGTACATGGGTCCAACTTTAGAGGTTGCAGGCGATTCATTGTGGTGGTCTACATTTTGTTGGTATATATATGATCCAATATTTGTATCAAAGGGTTGTTGTTTGTTATTAAGCACAAAGCTACATAAAGGGCTATCTGTGCTCTGCTCACCACGGGTATCGAAACCCGGTTTCTAGCAGTATAAGTCCACAGACATACCACTGTGCCACTGGGGGGGGGCGCATCAAAGGGAGAATAATAGCTATTTACTACAACAATACCCTAGAATGACAGGTTCAACAAAAGGTCTTAATGGTATTGATTCTTCTTCAAGATGGCAATACACATATCCACATTATAAGACTAGTAGTAGGCTGGTAAATGAAAAAGAAAGAAGCCTTAGGTTATTTACCGTGGTCTGCCAGTCCAATATTTTAAGCCCATTGAATGTACTCCTGCGTCCTTGTGCAAAATTGGAAGCTGTTCTTATTAAGGAATTGTGTAATATTAGTGTTGAAACTTTCCAACATTTTGTTATTACAATGCTAAACCGCATTAGCGATGTTCTAAAGGTTATGCTGGTCCAGCTGTATTTATACCTTTTTTGGGTGGATAATTTCATGTTTAATTAAACTCCTGAGGGGCAGACTTCAACATTTCAAGTTGGATTACACTTGAAAGAGGAATGGCGTTGAATTCCATCAGGTATGTATCAAAGATTGCTGTGCAAGCGTTGGTAACAGAAGCTGCGGTACACACCAAACTTGGGAACACTCCCTATGAAGATGAACCTCCAGCAGCGAAAACCAACATTCCCCTTCTCAAGGTCTGTTATCATAATTTTATACTTTTGGCTCAGCGGAAAGTCTTAGAGTTTATAATGCTAAAAATCGAGTTTATATACCAACGGTGGCCAGAGCACAGATAGCCTATCGTGAAGCTTTGCGCTTAACAATAAACAAACAAAAAAATTGATAAGAACGTTTGTTGCTCTCAAATAACTCATATCAAGTGAGCGTGAGAGAAAATACTTTTTTTTCATTAAAATCCATCGTAATATTTTAGTAATTACGAACAGTAACTGATCATTCTGTCAAGGTTACCAATACTCACGCATCTGGGTCTATTTTCACGCTCAAATGCATTAGTAAAAAATCATCATGTTTTCGTCAAACTAGCAGCTTTCTATAATGCATTGTGGTTGTTTGAACAGCTATATCTAAGTCAAAGTACAATAGTTTAGCCACAGCTAGGTCTGGGCGGACCACGGTCCGACCAGTCAGCACCCAAACATAGTCAATCTGCTTGACGGTCCCTACGTCCGAATATCTCAGACTTGGTTCTAAAGACTTGCCTGCCCATTGTAACTTCAGGCCTATCCAGAATTTCGAAACTGGCTACGCCAATATCATATTCTGCATCACCTTGATTCAGGAGATGTGCCAGATTGCACCATTTTGCTTCATTGAATAAACATTTTGGGGGCGAGCATGCCCCCAGGTACTCCTAAAAGGCGACCGCTTTCGACACTCGTAAAATTTTGCGGCGCGATAAAATTTTAATTTTTCAAAAGTCTCACCCAAAGAGATTCCTAAAAGTTGGCAGCTTTGATTCTTTTGATGTTGTTGGTAGAAAAATTACTTTTTGTTTTAATCAGCGTTTTGGATAATTGTTGGTAGATCATCAAACACAGCTTAACGGATACGTTGTTGATCTCACAGTTGTCAGAAGGGCACCATAGATATAAATATATGAAGGGCACTCGTTACACCGGAACTGACGATTAATTCCCGTGATGAACCGTTACAGGATATGAGTCTATTCTTTTGTATAACAGAATCTACTTTAGATATATCATCACTTAAGCATGTGCTCTATCCAGCTGCTAATTAAGTTAATTCGTATAAACAAGATTATTCTTGTTGAGTATATTAGAGCTGCATTATTAGCCTTGAATACCAGTTTAAAAACACAACGTAACATTTAGCAACCAATAAGAAACTATGGAGTTTTAATGGTCTTTTTCCACTAAAATAAACAGACCTGGTACGTAATAGAGACGACTGATATGGGTATTAAAATACAAAACAAGTAACTACCTGACCTCCTTAGGTCATTATCGGGTCAACAAAGACTTTTGAAAAATATATTTAAATGTAACAATATAATATTATCATTACTGTTAGAAAACTGGAAGATGTCTAAGGCTTACACAAGAAAAAATAATATAATGTAGATCTAGGTAAAGAGAGGCGAATCTAGAGAAAATTTAGTTCCACACACTCAATCTATAGGTTCTTTTTTTCGGTTTAGATGTTTGTTTTATTCTTGCCTAGAGTGATTTTTTACGCCACGTTATGAGCGCCTAGCTTAATGACTAAATTTACTTGAAAGTTTAAGAAACGATATGAACTATATAAAACGCGAGATAAAAAAGATTAGAAAAGACTGATTTAGTGAGTATGTTTCAGTGCATGATCAATTATTGAGTTAGTTTGTCAGACAGTTAGTTCAATTTTGAGAATACCGAGTTTGAATTTTGACGAAGGAACAGAGATATGAGGAAGCGCCACACATAAAAGAAAAATAATTAATGACAGTTTAGCATTATTTATGAAGTTAGGCCTAAAATTAATTCATGAAACAGTGTAACTTGTAGAACTTGTGGTGAAAGAAATAAAATGTTTTCGTTATCATTGAATGGTTCGTAAGAAAAAAAATCTTCTCGACAACAAAAATCGTTGCAACAATATATAGATTCTTGCATATATATAATAAGGTACACTCATAAATCAAATTCTCTCTTAATTTAGTACTCTGCAAGATTTATACCTTTGTAAAAGAGAACCCTCCTCTCCCTTCAGGTGATTCTTGTACTTTATCCTCATTTCTTCTTCCTGTAACAAAACATACATATTCTCAGTACAACATATTCAAGAACACAAACACAATCTATATTAGGTTCATAATTTTTACAAAACAAGTTTGCAGTTTCTGAGTGGTTAAGTATATTCAATATTAACTTTGGGGTTTAATTAAATCAAGTTTAGAATGCGTATTTTTTTATGTATAAAAAGTCAACTTTCAAGTTATTATCTTTGTTTAAACGTCAATCATTTAAGTGTAATGTCTGATATAGATATAGCCAGATAATAAAATATACATAAACCCAGTTAAGAATTTTGCATCGGATCTTGCACAGACTGGTCAATAACAAACTGTAAAATGGTAACTGTGACTTTTCGCATTTAGTCAATAACAGACATATTGTGAAAGTATATGAAAGTTACTTATATATATATTTTTTCAAAATATACAATTCAGCGATACATCAAGAACACCCAGAATCGTAAAAAAATGATACATGACAAATAAAGAACACCCAGAATCCAAAAAAAGATTAATGATAATTAAAGAAACCAAGAATTGTAAAAAAAGGTAAATGATAATTAAAGAAACCCAGAATCATAAAAAAAAGATAAATGATAATTATAGAAACTCAGCATCGTTATAAAGATAAATGATAATTATAGAAACTCAGCATCGTTATAAAGATAAATGATAATTATAGAAACTCAGCATCGTTATAAAGATAAATGATAATTATAGAAACTCAGCATCGTTATAAAGATAAATGATAATTATAGA